CATCCTCTCAGTCAATCGGTCTGCTGTATCAGCCCTACATGGTCAATTACTCCGATTCCCCGAAATTTGAAATTTCTCGCCGTTAGTCTGTCGGGCATAATCCGCAGTTTTTCCGTCGATTGTGGGGTTCCCACGGAGAGAATGAGCCGGCATATGCAGCTGCAGGTTGGCGTGGCTATCAGTATTGAGTATGGAGCGTGGAGTATCTAAGGTAGCATCAGGGATCCGCCCCTTTAGTACTATGAGTAGATAATCGAGACTACTCAGGAACTCTCGTACAAGTTGTCCGTGGGGTCATCACCTCCCGCGTCCTGCTTGATAACGTCACATATTTCCAGCTAGTAGCAAAGTCGACCAACAATGCTTCGACAAACCGTCAACATGGCTGATGCGGCCTGCTGCCTCGATGGGACAGGCTTGTTATTCATCGTTGGACCATGACTTGACGATGGGATATATCATGTACAATGTGTCAAGATTCCCGGGACTTCAGTTACTGTACACCTTACAGTGCAAACCGTTCGGCATCACCTCCCGGCCCAAGAATTACCCGGATTACGGACTCCAGGAGAGATGATCTTGAACCCAATAAAGTCCGAATCATCACTCGGGACCTCATCCACTCGGTACTACTGTAGTCCAATATCATCCCGAATCTTAAACAATCGAGTAAACTCCCCACCCCGATTCAAGTAGCTAAGAAGCGTTGAGCTTCTAGCATCACCCTCAACCATCCATGCCGCCAAACATCAGCCCGCCTGTTCCCTTTCCGTGTCATTTGCAGGACTTTGCAGTTTGTACACCATACCCGTGAACGTGTCGGTAGCTGTGTGTGGAGTAAACAATCCTGCATCGGTCAAAAACCGATGTCCAGTGTGGGGTTCATTGTGGACCGCGGAGTCCCGCGTAGAGAAGGGAAATGAATTCTCAAGGGTCAATTCACGGGCTTCCGCAGCAAGAACAACCATGTAGCACAGACGCTAAATCACTGATGTAGCCAAGACGTAAGTCCATGATGGTGGCTTAGCCTGCTGCTGAGCCGATGATTAGCCGTATGGTAGGAAGTCATTTAGACTGCTTTAAAGCCATTCCTATCGACTAACCTCGAAGGTTCCTCTGCATTTGCAGCCATCTGATCCTGGAGTCTATGGGATCATACCGAGCCTGGTATTTCTTACTGGAGCTCATCATCACTCAAACACTCAAAGGAATCAAAACACATTGGGGAACAAGCTCCCATCATCCTTGCATGGGTATTTCTCAACTCCATTTAGCCACTCCGAATCAGTACGTCATGGACTTGTGCTATGAAAGCCCTGGCTTTCAGCAACTTCCGTTACGGAGACTCACTCCCACATGACCAGTCATCTTTGCAGTTACAGCTTAGGCTCGTCCACCCATTGGTTTCACATGCGGATAGGGCGATAAATCACGTGCCCTTAACATGTCACTCCAGGGTTATGATTGGCTGCGGGCCTTTTCCGTTTCAAGCCAAGCTTATCGGCCTCGCCATGGGGGATATCCATAGCAGTATCCATAGCTGTAGATGAAAATGCAATCCATCCATACGTGACTTCATTCAGTCCGGAGTTCGCATTGCTTTATTAGATGGGTCTGCTACACATATCTTCAGGATCTTGGATTTTCTAAGGCGGTTTCGCCATGACTCGGGAAAAAGACAGCACATCGCCTTCTCGGCATCCTAGCGACATCGAAGCTTGCAATACGCCAGATGCCTCGAAATCTGACAACGATGCAGCCACGGCTGGTCCAACTTCTGCTTTCAAGCAACTCGCCTTTCTGGATCAATTCCTTGCAGCCTGGATCTTCCTGGCTATGGCTATTGGGATCATCCTTGGTAATTTTGTCCCCAACACGAGCAGAGCTCTGGACAAGGGGAAATTTGTTGGCGTGTCGGTGCCTATAGGTATGACTCTGGTTTCGAAACACACAGTTGGCCGGATGATGGCTCACACACGATATAGCAATCGGCCTTCTAGTCATGATGTATCCCATTCTGTGTAAAGTGCGATTCGAGACTCTCCACCGGTCATTCCGCGAAAAATCTCTCTGGATTCAAGTTGCATTCAGTGTCGTTGTGAACTGGATTATAGCGCCTTTTTTTATGGTAGGTCGGAAACTTTGCTGATATCGCAAGGTTGGTGCTGACCATCTGCAGCTTGCCTTAGCATGGGCGTTTCTCCCCGACGAACGAGGACTTCGAGAAGGTTTAATCCTAGTCGGCATCGCACGGTGTATTGCAATGGTTTGTCCCATGTCCGTACGATGGAATACCCTAGACATGCAGGCTAATAGCTTTCAGGTCCTTGTCTGGACTGGTCTTGCAGGAGGAGACGGTGAATACTGTGCGATTCTGGTCGCAATCAACTCGATCCTGCAAATGGTTCTATTTGCTCCCCTCGCGATTTTTTTCATTCGCATCATCGGAGATGAAGACGACGGTCTGACCATCGAATATTCTTTGGCCGCAAAGAGTGTTGGTGTGTTCCTTGGTATACCGCTGGGAGCAGCCATTGTCACCCGCTTCGCTTTAAGGTTCCTCATCAGCAATGAATGGTACGACAGAACCTTCGTAAAGCTGATCAGCCCGCTATCTTTGATCGGCCTTCTGTTCACGATTCTGGTACTCTTCGCTTCCCAAGGCAGGCAAGTTGTCCATCAGATTGTATCGGTCGTTCGAGTCGCCGCTCCGCTCATCGTTTACTTCGCCGTCATTTTCCTCATCACCCTTCTAGTAACGCGTCAATTGGGCTTCGGTTACAAGCTGTCATGCACACAAAGTTTCACGGCGGCGAGCAACAACTTTGAGCTTGCAATCGCAGTAGCAATTGCAACATTTGGTGTCGACAGCGACCAAGCGCTAGCCGCCACAGTCGGTCCTCTCGTCGAAGTTCCCGTGCTCTTGGCGTTGGTATATGTCGTCAAGTGGTTTGCCAGGCGACAGCAATGGAAATGACGAGAAAGTTTGACATATGCACTTGTACATAATGCGATACTGCCTCGAAAACGGGATAATAATAGTAAGCAAGCCCATCAGTGGTTGCTAATTTCGTCCAGAACCTGAAACAAAATCTGATTCTGCACCCTACATCCCTCTTCTGTTGTGAGGCCTTTGGAGAAGCCCGCCCATAGCCTCTGCCGAATTTCCGCGATGTCCATGCCGCGAGTGTTGTATTGCTGAATCAGTTCATCCGCTATTGCACAGAGAGTAGTATTGAGGGTGTCCCCATCATTAGGAAAACATTCTACATCTTTGTCTCCAGATGAGCAGTCGCAGAGTGGAGGCAGTCTGGGGCATTCTGATGGGTCCCAAGACTCTTGAGATGTAGTCTTTCCTAGGGGCTCGGGCGTGTCTAATGGTTCGTCCTTAGCGGAGAGTTGATTTTGCATTTCGGCAGTACTGGTGTCCCTTTCTGGCCTATCCGACGATGATGAGCAAGGGTGGAAAGGCTTTGTCTCCTGGCAAGGAGCTTCAGGCCGGATCTCTGGCCGTTCAAGAGTTGGTAATACAACTTTCTGGGTCATAACAGACTCGAAACTAGACCGCGGTTTCTCCTGAACGTCCTGACTTGGCCCGCCTGAGCACGGGCGCGAGCATTTTTGCTCTCGGCATCGGATTTCGGGCTGGTTCTCAGGCAGACGAGACGCCAGTATTCCGACTTTTTGAATCTCGAGACCACCATCGCCGTTTTGAAATACACCGACAGTGTTGGATGATTTGCCTCCACATGGACGCGAACACTTCGTCTCCTGACGCAAGGGTTCCGATTGAAACTCCGACCGTCGAAGAGCCGGTATCGCAACCTTCTGGGTCACGGCGGGATCATCACCGGTCCGCAGATATTCCTCGACCGTATGCGATGGGATCCCTGAGCAAGATAGCAGGTACCTCAACTTTCTATTCTCCATTTCGAGTCGTTGTGCGGCCAATCTATGCTCGACATCTTTCTTGTGTGCTTGTTCTTGTAGAGAGGCCAGCTTCTGCTCCAAGTCGCGAATATGCTCCTGCTTCCTTGCTCTGCTCCTTCGTTGGTTCTCTCGGATGCGAGCGAGCTTGTCGACCTTCTGACCTGTCATTAGTCCAACAGAATGCAATGGAGTGCGATTCGCTTTCTCCAGGGCTCCAACCTTTGGGTCGCTGTCGAGATTCATCTTGCCTCAATCAGCAGTAGTAGGTCATCAAAGTACACGCCAATATCCTGTAATTGCTAACGGCAGATGAGTTGCATATAGTTCTAAGCCTGTGAAGGATTGTCGGCAGCGAAAACTGGTGCAATCCAACCTGAGACCTAGCCTCCGCTGCAGTTGAATGATTAGGAGAATCAACCGGTTGGTCTTGGATTTGGGATATGGGTTGGGTCCATCAATCAGTGGGCGGGACTAGCGCACGTGATTGCCGCTCTCCACTATGATCAACGTCCAGATCCAGATCTGTCAGCACCAGGAGTGCACACCTGAAATATTAGACAAGATATATCTAGATAAATGATTAAGGCGAAATGTGCCATTGCTTGGCCTGGCAATGAGTCTGGCTTTCTATAACAGTTCTCAGCCCTCCATCTCGAATAGGTCGCGGCCGTAACCCGACAATAAATCTCGGCTGAGCAAACTGCGACTACTTAACTAATTACCGACTTTCTTCTTTTAGTCTGCTAAATACCATAGGAAGTTGGATCATTATATCTGATGGCGGAGGTATCATAGTAGGTATCATAATGTGTAATGTCTTATGGCAACCTGCAATTCAGTGGAAACTTCCTACGCACCCAGACACAGTCGTCTTCACGACGTCACCACCCGTCAGTCGGCCCGTCGCCATGCCACAAAACTCAGCATTCTTCGCGTCGCGACATCCTTCGTGACTTTAGTGCTTCTCGCTTCTCATTAAATCCCTAACCACAGCTTTAAACACTAACCACGCAAGCAAAGCAAATCCCTGTATGTGCTACCATACACCCTCCTAGACAACTGCTCCAGAAATGGTTTCCACAAGACATCATCCCCGCGAGTTCCCATCGCCATCGCGTGCCAGGTCCAGGTCAAAATCTCCAGGGCCGTCAGCCAACGGAATTGCCACCAGACGATCGGTGCACACCCCATCAACAGCTGTGACCTTGTGGCTTCTGGTCTCGATTCCCCTGGTCCTATGGGATTCAGGTTACGTGTTGTTGCGACCGCATTCCATGCCGGGTCACAAGCTGCATTCGCCTGTTTGGACCCCGTACGCACTCTATGGGACAATTGACTATATCTATGGCTGGCCGGCATTCAACGCTCGGAATGGTTTTACCGCCGCGCAGACTGTCTTAAACCTTGTTGAGTCAGCGGCTTATCTCTACTACCTCTTCATCATCTATAAATATGGAGTAACAATGACTTCCGGCGGACGTGGAAAACAGCGCAAGACTCGTAAGGGTTTCTTGTGGATGTTGAAGGGCGACAAAGTCGTGTCTGGGCGCACTGGAGCGACGGCTCTCCTCGTAGCCTACAGTGCCTCCATCATGACTTTGAGTAAAACGATCCTTTACTGTGAGTTAGACGGTCTCCGTCAGTCTGTAACCAGCTAACGAGCTATCAGGGCTGAACGAAGCTTTCTCCGGATTCGCCAACATTGGACACAATGATGCGTTCACATTGATTACGATGTGGATCATTCCTAAGTAAGACTGGTCCCTAAATCTCCGCCTGGTACCGGTTCTAATAGCAGACAGTGGGCTCTGGATTGCTTTTCCTAGCTACAATATATATACCTTGGGGAAGGAGATACTGGCCGCTCTTGAGACTTCCGCACCCGCTTCGCGGACGAAGTCTTGAGATCTCACATTCTGTGGGCTTGACGTTCGATGCATGACCCATAGCACCCGTCGGCTTCAGTTTGAGACTTCGAGGACACCACATACACTAGGGGTCGAAAGGTGGTGCTGTTGCTTCAGAGACCATCCCGGCTCTAGTCAGGCTATATTGTAGAATTTGCGGACTCCGCCTATTTAGGGAGTTGTCATATCGGGTGTCACGTGTGATATAGTATGAGAAGAATGCCCATTAGGCTCCACCATGATGCATCTGAGTAGACGAAATTCATGTCTAGTAAGCCCTTTTTAGGTGCTGCTTGTTGCAGGTTGGATTACCCCAGAGCGGCCCAGCTGCGAACGCATAGATCTCCAGAATCACTTTCTGTGAGCAGGGACACTTCCTCTCTGCTCCTGTTCGTTTCATTCATCAATATCACTCATTGTATACCCAGTATCAACTATCAAGAGCTGTTCCTGCTTTCGAAGGCACCTATCTGATTAATAATCCGACGGGACCAGATGCCAAGCCCGGCCCTTCCCCATACCCACCTGCATCTACCGCCTGTCCCGCAATCCCATCCAATTCCAAGCAATCTCTCCAGAAAGCAGAAAGCTACCATTATCCTTCGGCTGACCTCATTGCTCTCGCTGCTGCCTACACAAACAATGTCCCGGGCCTTGCTGCTGGGGCTACCTCACCCGTCATGATCCCACCCGAGTCCATGGAGTCTCCCATGGCCTCTTCTGCTGGTCCGACTTTGCCCCACGACGACAGCGCGATTCCGGAAGATTTCGACATCCAAAGTCGGGCCAGCTCGCGAGATGCAGGGAGCGTCCAGACGGCAGGAGACCCAGCTGCCGCACAGGATGGAGCCCATGCTACCCAGCGCGACGATGCCCATAATTCCAACGACAACGGCACCAACGGGAAGCCTCCGTGGAGCGAAATGAAAACCAAGGCTGGAAAGGAGCGGAAACGTCTACCCTTGGCATGCATCGCGTGTCGGAGGAAAAAGATCAGATGTTCGGGGGAGAAGCCCGCGTGCAAGCATTGCTCGCGCTCTCGAATTCCATGTGTCTACAAGGTTACGACGAGGAAGGCGGCTCCTCGGACGGATTACATGGCGATGCTGGATAAGCGGCTAAAGCGTATGGAGGATAGAGTCATCAAGACCATTCCGAAAGACGAGACGCGAGATATGGCCGCAATCGGTAGGTCAGTCGTCCGACCGCCTCAACCGGGTCAGGCATCCAAGACACAAAAGAAGCGATCGGCGGACGAAGCTTTTACAGCGGAGATGGAAGAATGGGCGCACGAGGATCGGAGGGGACCACAAGACACGTTTCCCATGCGGCGCGAGGGCAAGAGCAATGATGCAACGGCTCTTTTGACTGAAGGTGCCGAGCTTCTACCGTCGCTGGAGATACAGGAACATCTGGCTGAGGTCTTCTTCGATTGTGTATACGGGCAGTCATACCTCCTGCTCCATAAGCCAAGCTTCATGCGGCGGCTGAAAGCGAGGACAGTCCCGCCCGTACTGATCCTGGCCGTCTGTGCTGTTTCGGCTCGATTTTCCACACACCCGCAGCTTAGCTCAGATCCGCCTTTCCTCCGCGGAGAGAACTGGGCAAATCCCGCCGCTGCCATCGCGTTGAGCCGACATGATGAACCGAGTATAACCATTTTGATTGTTTTTTTACTATTGGGCCTTCACGAGTTCGGAACCTGCCATGGTGGGCGGAGCTGGTCTTTTGGTGGTCAGGCCCTCCGCATGGCCTACGCTTTACAGCTTCACAGGGAGCTAGACTATGATCCTCTACTGAATCAAGGCGCAGGTAATGGTGCACAGCTGAGCTTCACGGATCGGGAGATCAGGAGACGTACGATGTGGGCATGTTTCTTGATGGATCGCTACAACTCGTCTGGGAGTCAGCGTCCACCTATAGGAAACGAGAAGTTTCTGCAGATCCAGCTTCCTATCAAGGAGTCTTCATTTCAATTGGAGATACCGGGCCCAACGGAGGACCTCGAAGGAAACATTCCGAACCCCGTTCCGGATGATGTCGGTCAATTGTCTAATGCCAAGGATAACATGGGCGTGTCGGCCTACATCATTCGAGCTGTGGTGATATGGGGCCGCATAGTCGATTACCTTAATCTTGGTGGGAAGAGAAAGGACCCGCATCCTCTATGGTCGCCCGAATCGGGTTATATGAAATTGAAACGACAAATCGAAGACTTCTCTGCCACCCTGCCCAGTCATTTGGCGTTCACGTTTGAAAATTTACAGGTTCACGCTGCAGACAAGATCGCCAACCAGTTTCTCTATCTCCATATCATCATTCATCAGAACATGTTATTCTTGAATCAATTCGCCATTCCGCTTTCACCAGGAGGGCGGCCTCCCAAGGATATGCCCAAATCGTTCCTCAGTAACGCAGGGCGGGCCGCTGTCGAGGCAGCACATCACATCTCTGTACTAATAGACCGCGCGTCGGCCTATCCTCTGACGGTGCCGTTTGCGGGATATTGTGCTTACTCGGCGAGTACGGTACACATTTGGGGCATTTTCTCCAAGAACGCACAATTGGAAGCTCGGTCGAAAGAAAACTTACGGCACACCTATCGGTACCTCAATAAAATGAAGAAGTATTGGGGCATGTTTCATTACATGGTTGAGAGTGCCAAAGATCGTTATCGGCAGTTCGCAGATGCGGCCATCAAGGGGACCGTCGTCACCCAGAACGGCAGTCAGCTCACCCCCATGTTCCAGTACGGCGACTGGTTCGATAAATATCCTCACGGCGTTTCAAGACTTCACTGGGATGATCCTGACGCCAGGCAAAAAGACCGTGCCGATGACGGGGTGATGGGCCAAAAGCCCGAGCTCCAAAGCGTGGAAGACTTCTTCGCAAGCCTATCTCCGTCCGTGCCACAGCACAGCACCCCCCGTCGCCCACATCCAAGAAGAGACAGCAAGAGTATTGCTCCTCCGGACCACGTGGCCCCTCCGCAACCGGTGGTCGACGTGAACATCAACAATGCTCCTGGGATGTTAGGAACATCTGGCACGGGATTCCCGCATCCGACAATGTACAATCAGCAAGGCCGAACAACATCCTTAGCGCCAACCGGATTCGACTTTGGTATTCCCCAAGATCAACTCCCCCAGTTGGATCGGCAGTTTGTCTATGGATCCTTTGCTGGGTTTGACCCTTCCCCTGCCGCGTTTGCGACTGTTGATACGCCGGGAATTTCCACTCCTGGTGAGGCAGACCCCCATACAAACCAGGACGCATCTGCTGCGCTCTTCACCGGTCACATGGACCCCAACGCCCCGTCGGGCACCGGAGAGTACTATCAACCGAGCGCCTGGTTTTTACCTTTCAATCTCGACCCTGTCGGTGCAGGTGTTGGCCTTGATCCAAACCCTCCGGCTCCCTGTTCCAATAGCGAAAATGCCACTGCAGACTTGTCCGCGTTTGGCGGTACTGGCATACCTCTGGGAGGGTATGATCTGGGAGTGGCAGGAATGAATCAAGGGTCCCATCAGTGATCGGTATTGCTACCATTTTTCTTATTTTCTCTTTGCGAGCGGTTCAGGTTGGGCGGATTCGGTGTCGGGGAAAAGGATGGGAGTTCACGACTTGTATATTCTCTGTATGGTGAACTGTTTTGTGTAACTAAGTTGTATATCCCTGCTATATATCGATCCATTGCTTTCTTTGTCTACCAAATTACCCCCTCGGAACGTTTCACTGCCCGTTCTGCCGGACATTAATGACGATGGCCTTTTTATTGTTACCAGGTTTAACTTTGAATGGCATGTCGTCTCAATTTCGTTGCCACGCTGACCGACAAATCATGCTGCCGGGAGTTCCTTTATAGTTCAATCTAATGTCTTCCCGGGTGCCTTCGGGCATTTGGTCAATTTGAAACGATACAGAGAAGATTAGCATGGCCCCTGCACTAAGGATGACACGCTCAATCAAAGAGAAGCTACCAGTTTTTTTTTGTACACTTACAGACCTCGTTTGCAGGTAAGAGTGTTAGGCATGTTTGACGCATCTCAAGTAGCTGCCGTTCGAAACCGATGGTTTTCGGCCAAACATGTTCACAGCAAAAACAATAGCGAGATGTCGAAGATGGCTCTGTCTTAGGGGATCAGAATCATTCAGATTGCGAGTACGCTGGTATGAAGAGATGCAAAAAGAAATGTGCTGCATCATCCGTGAATCGAACACGGGCCTCGTCGATGGCAACGACGAATTCTACCACTAGACCAATGATGCTAGTTGTTGACATTTTGACCATCAATTGCTTTATGATCCAACCTTGGGAAACATTATATCACTTACAAACTGGCTAGCGCTCGCTTCGCTCTACGCTGAATTACTTCAAGAGTTCGCTTCGCTCAAACAGGTGTCTATGCTCTGCGATTCCCTATTATCCAAACCCCGCTAGGCTAGTACTGTACAGTCTGTACTAAGGAAAGTCTCGGATAATTATTCCTGAAGACTTTCAGGGATTTAGACACCCCGCATTAGAACAACTTCCCCTCTCATAACTAGCAACCGCAGAATCCATGTAGAACAACTTCCTAACTAGCAATGCAAACTTCGCACCTCACTGGTAGCTCAGTGTTCAAAAGGAGTACAACCAGGATGCAAATCCCTATGGAGATATATGATCATGTAAGACCTATCTTCATATTATCTTGTGCTCAGTGTTAAATGCTTCTCGCAGATTATATATCATGTTTGGAGAAACGTGTACTATGAATTCTTGCATTTGACGGAGGATGCTAGGCGTTACTCCATCTCTAGGAGCCGACAAGACTTAGCCACTTTGTGCTTGGTCAACAAGGCCTTCTGCCGCAGCGCCTCCTTCTGGCTTTTCCGGCATATTAATGCGAGATCCAGCTCCTATCCGAAGATGGAACTTTTGAAGCGGCTCAGGGAACTATCAGAGAGTCCATATGCTGTACATGTACGTCGAATTGATTTTGGAATGGATGATTACTCGGAAAAGCCTGGAAATTCTTATATAGGGGACCTTGCCGAGACCCTATCGTCTTGTCTGGTCAGATTTTCCAACCTCAGGGCACTCGAGTTTGATGAACCGGCCTCATTCCTAACAGACGTCCGGATAGGAGTCTATCTGGATTCGGTTGTTTTGACAATACGGTGCGTGCCGCTCCCAAACTTGACAGAACTCGAGGTTAGATTCCCCATAGCCCATCACTTCGGACGTTTCTTCGCGGACCAGACCAGTTCTTCGCAGACCCGTATCAAAGATATCATGCAACGTCTTCGACGTCTCCGGTTATACGTTTGTACACATACAAGTACGCTGGACCAGAGATACCGGCGAACCATAGTCAGTCCGACGTATGCTACTTTTCCAAACAGGACCCATGCAACGCAAGTGTTTAGAATGGTCGAAATGGCGCCAAATCTCGAATCACTCGCGGTGCGGAGTGTCGATATTCTAGATGTTGACTCCCTCGCCTTTCCACGTTCCCGTTGTCTGCGGTCCCTCTATCTAGGGGGCGTTTCCATTTCATGCCACGTTCTTCTCTCGCTTGTCAACCAATTCTCAGAGAATATCCGGTATATCAATTTTTGGCTGGTCAAATTGAAGTCTGGGACATGGCAACAGGTGCTCCTGGAAATATGCCAGTTACCGCACCTTCTCGATATCATTATTGATCACAGCGGCTACTCGTTGACTGGATCGAGCTCTGGTCTGGCTCTCAGAGTACTTCCAAATCCAGAGTGCCCTCAAAATATAGAAACTATGAATGACCTTGATGTGCATGCTCTGGGCTATCTACAACGCCACGTTAATGCGAACAGAATTTCTGCCGGGTTTCGGCCATTCCCAGAATCAGATTATCGACATATCAATAAGCCGTCTCTGGAGTCTATAGCCAATCATTGCCGCAACTACTGAATCCATCTGACTAGATTGGTATATCATACACGTGCATGGTTAGCTTCACCCGCTCTTGCAAGGAATGCTTCAATGGAGCTTGCACCCGTGGCGTCAGATGGCAGATACATTCCTCACCAGGTACCTGAACAAGTCCATTGATTCACTGCTTGATCACAAGTAGCTACATTACAGTAAGTGCTTACCGTAACAGATAGCCACAAAGGGCGTTCAGCATCAGGTGTGATGCTGGATGGACGGCTGGCAGGGATTGGGGATCTAGCGCTGCTAAACAACTACATGGATAAGTGATAGAATGCTCACAAATTTGCATCTTAGCTAGTTTATGATGTGGTCAGTCTGTTTTTGCTGCTTATCTTGTGAAAAAGTCAAATGATACTCAAGAGGCCGTCCCATTGTTGTTTGCTATACAATGATGCAATAAGCAGCGTCCGCATTCTTACGCACACCGACGGACTGCTTATATACTGAGCTGAATCGAAAATATATACCGAGACAAACAACGACAGCGTCCACCTGACTCGTCGTGCGAGCCGAATCTTCCAATACAGGAGATCTTAACGCCAGATAGCTAAAGAAATCGCCATAACCAAATTTTAGGACATGCTCATATTGTACGACAGGAGGCAAGCAAGAAAGACATTGACCAACATCATAAATCTCAAGGAAACAGAAGCGAAACATCTCATTCATCAATCATCCCAGGTCTCGTCCAATTGGTCTATGAGACGGTTCTCCGCGTCGACGTCGGACGCATAGCTGTCTCGTCCTCGACGGCCGCCGATCGCCCCGATGAAACCGCCGCTTGAACCATTTGCGCGGCCGTGTCCGAGGGTGGGGGAACGTCTGATACGGAAAAGACGGCCCAGGGAGGAGAAGAGGATGATGAACATGTCCTATATGGGAGGGTGAGGAGATGCGTCAGCTTATTTTCAAGGAGGATAGCGGTCGCAAAAGAAATTGATCAGTAATGACATGAGTGATGCCGCGTGAATAGAGAGAGATCTATATAAACTATGACTGAGCAGAATCAAGACACATGCTCGACTTAGATGAGTAGGAATCTATTAAAAGAAGGTGTGGGAAATGGCAAAGAGTGTATTGCCTTCTCACTGCACCCGAGCCTTAGACCAGCCAAAGCAGAGGTCAATCCGTTCGGGAAATGGGCAAGCTCGGACTACCAAACTCCTTATAGGGACTCAGGACGCCACGTCTAGATCGAATGCGAGATGACCGGAAAGGTATCAAAGCCAAGACACTCACTTTTACAAAATCAAAGATGCCCGCCCACAGACTATAGTTTGGACATTGTCTCCAGCCTCTCTGGTGCATGACGGTTCGCTGGTAGGCACAACCACCAACCAAGTACGCGGCGACGGCAATCAGAGCACTAAAAGATGAACGGTATTAGTGTTCTGTCCCGCAAAGAGAGCGCGGTATGGACTTACATCACACCAAAAACACCCGCCGGCCCCAGGCCTTCACCATTGGCGTGACCAATGCTGCCACAAGCGGCCGAGCTTCGAACCTCAAAGAAGTATGTGCACTGATCCATGGTGCCGACGAAAGACGCAATGGCCTGGTGGGAAAGAGCATCACGATCGCACAGAAAAGACATGATCGTCGACTTATTCCGCGAACTATGTCCGATCTGCTCGCCAGGACAAGGTGAGCCATTAGTGTAATTCAACACAAGCTTGCGGCCGCGGAAGAATGGTTGCGCGGCTTGTTCTCTATACAATACGATCAGCGGAGGCATCTAAAATCCCACTGTATGGTCATCAAACCTACCCAATGGAGTATATCTTCCCCTGCTTCTCGTAATAGGCGCTGACATTCTTCCACCTGTCGCGCTCTACCCCCACCACATCCTTTATGTCTTCGACGACGGGTGCACAGATATTGAGTGTAAAGTTGGCATGGTAGTCATGGCCCTTTGCATGCCAGCTTTCCTTTGGCGCGTTCTTGCTGCTTTTTTTGCCGTCCGAGGGACCCGGATGAGATACCGAGATAGCATTCAGATCGTAGTAGAGGCCGGTAGACGGAGAGCGTGCAATACACAGGGAGAGTCCATCTTTCTTGCCCGTAGGTTCAGAGGCAGCGTAAACTGATGTAACAGGAGCTGATAAAAGGAAAAGGAGTCCCAGGAATGAGCCAGCCAGCGACTTCATCTTGAGGAGTCAATCCCCGTGGGACGGAAAACAAGCGATATCTTGGTGAATCGATGCGACAACAAGGATAGAGGAATTCGTAAAAAGGAGCGTGTCCGAAACCGACAATGAAAAGAGAAAACAAACGAGCTAAAAGAGGTTGAAAGAGAGACACAGAATGTTGAATCGCAATGAAGCTGCGTAATACGGGCCAAATGGCGTTTCGGTCGCAATTCTCCAATCTCCACGTGCGGAGAAGCTCCCATAAGCCTTTCCATCCCGCCTTTACTTAGGCTTAGACCATAAAACTAGGTTGCCTAGGTCTCATCATAATCATTATTCATTATTATTTTACGGATTGCGCTGCAGTTAGTCTAGTCAATTCTACGAATAATATCGTCTCAAGCGCCAAGACATTGAAGGCGGCTATCGGCTTCTGCTTATCCGGCCTCATACGTCGATGATCGGTACGGTACGGTGGGCTGCGTCCGATCGCTGATCCGCACTATCTGGGGTTGTTCCTGAAATTTTATTTAAACCACAAGTCCCCCTGGGTCGTCTCTGCGACACAGAAGCTCAATTGCTCGTTTAGAACCTGCTATCAACGTGAGTCGTCGTTGACAATGGCGTCAAAGAAATCCGAGAAGTCAAAAGTTCCAATTCAACCCGTTCCAGAGAAGCGCGGTTATGAGTTTCAAGGCCCGTACGTTGTCACAACCATTGAAAGATTATAAACCTATCAAGCTGATAAGCTGATTTTCAAAGTATTGGCGCTTTTGGAATCATCTTTGGCCTACCCTGTCTGCTCTACGCGTTCACCTTCCTCTGCAACGATATCTCGGGTTGTCCTGCGCCGTCGCTTCTGCACCCATCCACACTGTCAATTGATAAGCTGAAACAGGAGGTCGGCTGGCCGGAGGATGGAATCAAAGCTTTCTATGATACCCAGGTTACCCTGTGGGTTCTGAGCTATTATTTCCTGAGTCTGCTCATGCAGGTGTTCCTCCCTGGCACAGAAGTTGAAGGTACCGAACTGGCTTGTGGAGGAAGACTCAAGTACAAATTCAATGGTAACGACTCTCGCGCTCTCTGGGACCTGTGCTCGGTGTGTTTCTGACGATTCGCAGCATTCCTGTCGGCTATCTTGATTCTGTCAGGTTGTGCAGTAGGCACGTACATGTACGGCGTTGAATTCGCAGTATGGACTTTCCTCTGGGATAATTATGTGCAGGTGATCACTGCGAACCTGATCATCTGCACGGCCATCGCGATCTTCGTTTACCTCAGAAGTTTCTCGGTTCCAGCTCCGGGTCAATTGAACCCTGAGCTCCGGCAACTGGCGCCTGGCGGGCACACAGGCAACGTCCTGTATGACTTCTTCATTGGCCGGGAGCTTAATCCCCGAGTCAAGCTGCCCATTCCGTTTGTGAGTGAGACGGCGCGGACGATTGACATAAAGGTGTGGTGTGAGATGAGACCTGGCTTGCTTGGATGGATTATCCTGAATTTGTCGAATATCGCCCATCAATACCGCACATACGGCTACATCACCGATTCGATCGTCTTGACAACTGCGTTCCAGGGCTTCTACGTGCTAGATGGTCTTTACATGGAACCGGCTCTTTTGACGACCATGGACGTCATCATGGACGGATTCGGTTTCATGCTCTCCTTCGGCGACATGGTTTGGGTTCCGTTCCTCTACAACTTCCAGACCAGATACCTCGCCGTCTACCCCTCTGAGCTCGGCCTAAGTGGGATCCTCATAGTCTTTGCCGTCACAGCCGCGGGATATTCGATTTTCCGTGGTGCCAACAACCAGAAAAACCGCTTCCGCACCGATCCAAACGACCCCCGCGTGAAGCACCTCAAATATATCGAAACAAAGACCGGCTCTAAGCTGCTCATTTCCGGCTGGTGGGGTTGCGCACGTCACATTAACTATCTTGGCGACTGGATCATGTCTTGGTCCTACTGCCTCCCAACCGGCGTTGCAGGGTATGCGATCATTGAGAGTATCAACCCGGCTTCTGGTGAGATGCAGAAGCAGGCTGTCCAGACGCCGGAATCTCGCGGCTGGGGAATGATTTTCACGTACTTTTACATGATCTACTTCGGTGTCCTGCTTCTTCACCGCGAGAGACGCGATGAGGAGAAGTGCAAGCGGAAGTACGGTGCCGACTGGGACCGCTATACATCTCTGGTACGCAGCAGAATTATCCCGGGCATCTACTAGTGGTGCAGCCTGCTCTGCCTTTGATTACTTGCCTGCTGTGGCTGACTGAGATGGCGACGCCGTTTGACTTTGGGACTTCGACCCACGCATCTTGATGTAATACATAAAATGTTGGATAAAAGTTTGTAATAATGGGCCGATGGTTTGCAAGGGTTATGCCTTCTGACGGACACTGCAAGTGCACGAGTGGCACTCGCATGTTATAACCCATAATGTTTGTTCTGTGTATGATACTTAGTGAATCAGTTCAGCGCTTGCGCTTTTTAGGATCAATGAGAATGTCCAGTCCCCATTGTTCATCGCCTTCATTAGGGATCCATCCTTTCAAGGCATCCTTGGCCTCCCGAACGGCATCCTTCCGTGCTTTGACGGACGGCGGCAATGCCACTGGCGTCTTCTTAAACTGCTCGTACGTGGACGCTGCAATCAGTCGACAAAGCGCCGTATCCTGCAGAGATGGGCCCGATTCTGGAACATTGCTTGCATGCAACCCAACGCCCCCATCAACAACCTCCAGTGTACAATCCTCCAAGCACGATGACCGCACTATATCGCGAAGCAAGCCCCAGACCTTCGCGCGCGACAACGCAGAAGCACCGCGAGGCGTAACAGACGCCGCGCGATTCCCCTGCTTCACCCCGTTGATGATGGTCTCGTACAAGCCCGTTCTCGAGCCCCGTAGCACCGGCAAGCACTTGGCGCCGTTGTCTGATGCAATGGGACACCGATGAGGCAGTGAGGGGGCAGCCACCCACACGGCCGATACGTTCCCTGGCCTATTCTTCTTCGGCGGTGTCTGCGCTGGCGTCGTAGCTTCTGACGTGGGCTTCGGTTTCCGGAATGGCCAGATCGTCTCGATCAGGTCGCTGGGGACAGAGAGAACACGGAAGGGATGGAACCCGTATCCGTATTGTACTACACTATCAACTTGCGCCGGCCAGAAGCGACCATTCAGCGTCTTCATCCGCCCCGAGGCGCTGAAACACCGCTCGAAGCCAACGCGGCTTATCTCCTCTTCAGGGAGGATCAGACACTCGATGTACGCGTTTAGAGTAGGCGCAACGAGCAGACTCGCCTCGTACGATAGGAGCGATGACACCTGCCGCAGCGCAAGCTTGTCCGAGCAGGACTTGCTGAGGGTTGCTTCGGCGTCCGCGCGCGCCGGCTTGCGCCGGACGATACCGAGGCGGGAGAAGTAGCCCCGGCCATCTAGGAGTTCTGGGCCGGGGGACTCGGTGCGCTCGGGTCCCGGTGTGACGACCTCCCAGGGTCTTGGGTCGTCTTGTGCGGCCATGCAGAGCTCCATGCTTGCGTCACCGCAGGGTGCGCAGGTGCAGTACATGTAGATTTTGATGTCGGGTTGGAGTTCAAAGGGGGGCCAGGCGGGGTTCGGTTCTGATTGCGCTGCGCTGGGCGTTTCGAACGGTATCCTGCGGCGGATGAAAGGTGAGGATGCTGCCCCTGGAGTACCGGTTGAGCTTAATGACCTTGCATGCTGTTCCTGGGCCAGCAGGCTGTGGCACTCAGACAGGAGCCAGTAATTGAATGAGCGGAGGGCCAGAACCTCCGCGTGCCAGTCATGTAGCACCAGGCCTCTGCCTTTGGATACCTGAGAGGCTGGAAGGCATTTTGCACCGGTACTATGGAGCAGTTAATATCATCCTAAGCATGAATAGAGACCAACGCCTGAATGCATACGTGACTGCTACACAGGTTAATTTCTCAGAGACAGTATTCTCCCCTACTTAGATATCAGCCAGGTGACCCAAATATCAGGGACACTACAAGGTTAACCTTTTACGACCACGATCCCGGACATGGGAATCCATTCTCTCAACCCATCAGGGTAGATGGTGGGCTTGCTGCGAGCAGGCAGGCCATCAAAATGCGCATGCACCAAGGAGGCGATACGGGATGGCAGTGACTCTGCAGTCAAACAATCCATCAAAGATCATCTCAATGACTAGGAAAATATGGATGATTTGTACCGAACTCCCCATCACTCATACGCGATTCCGCGGATATCACGTGATATCTCTGTTGCATCAGAACAATTCGCCAACCGAAATTCCTTCCCTTGAACATACAACAACCACAACGCCCCTCACATTACAGAATATCTATCCTACAGAAGAATAAACAAAAATGGCCGACAAACTCCGCACCCTCCAAAACCTCGAAGCCCTGCAGGCCCGCCACGTCGGCACCGGCCACGCCGACACAACCAAGTACGAATGGGAATCCAACATCATCCGCGACAGCTATGCGTCGTATATCGGGCACCCGCCACTGCTCTCGTACATGGCTCTTGGGATGGGCGAGCCGAAGGAGAAGGTGCGGGCTGCGATGATCGAGAAAATGGTTCGCGGGGCTGGGAATCCGCCTGAGGTTGGTCTTGTTTGCTGTGCTTGTTGAGTGGACGCTGTTTTGCTGATCTGAGGGTTAGACGCAGGAATAACGAGTTTCTGGTGTGTGGGATTGGATAGCACTGGATAGCACTGGAGTTGTGCGTTCCTGAATTCAGGGTGGCTCAATTGCAGGAGGCGCGGTCCGTTTACAGTTACTCTTGTCGAAGAAGGATTCTCCGGATAGCGCAGGGCAATGAGGCAGAGTCAATCGGACTGGGCGGTCGTTTATAGGTCTATGGTGGCCTTAAAACTTCGGATATTGCTATGTGAGGCTTTCCACGGGAAATGCCGCAGATGGAATGGTTGAGATTCTTCAGAATGTGTGTATTGACACAGGATACTCTTTGATACCCGGTGCATGGCGTTATCTGGGAATTTTCATCATGAACAGTTCTTCTGCTGTACTTATAACACCTTGATTAGGATATACAATTTAATGCTTTGAGCTATCATTTACATGTCCATGCAATATTCGTCGATGATCACAATACTAAAACGTCCATAGATCCCCCGATGCACACACGAGTCGGCTTCAGAGCGACAAGCATAGATCATATGCTATCGATCATCGCCACTACCACCCTGCCGTGCCGCTAACCTGGTATTCTCAGCCTGCAGCGACGCAATCAGGTCAAGCCATTTCTGCCTCTCTGACCGCAGCCGCTCGACCTCCTTCTTGAGCGTATCTACTTCCCGCCGTAGAGCATCCGTCTCCGACCTATACCGCGATTTCTCCTCGCGGTCGGCGTTCTTGCGCTGCTGCGCTTCTATCTTCGAGGCTTCCTTCAGCTGGTGCTTTTCGATCTTCCCGAGCTGCTTAAGGAGTTTCGCCTCCTGCTGGAATAAGCCCGATGCGACCTTGTGCATGTGCGCTGATTCGATGTTAGTCTTATGTTTATGGTGGTTGTTGCTTGATGAAGAAGCGCCTTCAACCGCCCCCTGCTTGAGATCGGTACTGGCAGCGCTGCTACTGGCTTGGTCGCTTACGCCAGAATCACCAGCAGCGGCAGCAGCTCGAGCCTTCTTGGTATCCACCTCGGGGAAGGAACCAAGTTGGAGTGTTTGGATCTCGTTCCTGATGGTCTCCAATTGAGCTTCGACCTCGCGTTTCCGCTGTGCCAGCTTGGCGAGCTGCTTCTCGTGGGAGGAAAGCTTGCCCTTTTTGTTCATCTTGATCACATCCACCGGAGAGATGCTGTCGTGGGCGAGTTCCGAGAGGGGAGTCGTAGGCACCGAGTTGGTCGTTGGGATTGGTTGCGAGGTTTGCGACGCAGCATCAGCGGCGTTGGTACTGGCGTCTTTTTCGAGGCCTTCTGTGCCACCTTTGGCATTCGATGAGGGTTCTTTCTCGCTGGGCCCGTCGGTGTCATCAGATGAACTGTACTGGGCTGAGGATTCCAGCGTACGGTGTGGGCTGTGTGGTAGATAGTCCAAAACTGCCTTCGGCGCATACCGCTCCAGCCCTGCGTTGAGAAGATACGCGAAACTTGCAATCAAGCCATGATGTTCTTCTTCTTCATATTCTGTATCGTCGTCCAAGTCGGTACTATCTTGCGCGTCGCCTTCCAGTGACGAAGTTTCCATCGTTTTCTCTGAAGACTCTCGTCCATGTGTGTAGCGCTCGTCCTTGTCTCGTGTGGTGGTATCGCGACAAGCCCAATCGACAAACTTGACGGCATCGGTGCAGATACTCTTGGGAGTCCCCTTCTCCACCATCCAACGAGGGATACTGCCACCCGGATCACTCCTGGTCACCATTATCCACTCCACTGGCCATGGATCTTCTTCGTCATCCCGCTCAAGGTCGTCGATATGCTTGGCCGTCTCCTTATCCCGCTTCTCCAGAACCGCCGACTCCGTCTTTCCTCTCGGTCGACCGACTTTGCCACCAGTAGCCTCTTTCTGCGCAGCTGGTTCAGCGGAGGCACCTTGTCGAAGCAGATTGTCCTCGCTCCGGGTCGGCGATACGACCTTCACACGCGGCACGTCCTGCACCGGAGGCTTGTTGACTGGAATTTCCCGGATAAACTCCACAGACTCATACTGACCCCGAATATACCCCTGCTTCGGCGGCGCATCCGGATGCTCACAGGGCTTGGACACCATCATCCAATTGCGGCCGCGTCGCTGAGCCTCCGCGCCCGCGCCGGTACCAGTAGCCTCGCTGGCCCCATTCACCTCCGTCTCCCAGTTAATGATAAGCGTCACGAAATCCCGCGGTGTGGTTGGCTTCGGAAACTGCGCAGAGACATGATACACATTGACAGTGCCTATATCCCTCTTCCCCTCCTCGTCCTTCACCTTCACCTGCTCAATCAGCCGCTCCGCCCCGATCCCCCGCACCGCCTGGTCCGCGACCCGCCCCTTCCGTATCCGCGCCTGGTTCGCCTTAAGCGTCTCGTCCATCTCGCTTGCCAGCTTCCTCTTCCACGTCGAGAAGGGAAGCCCCTCGTGCACGCTCCGGCGACCAAACCAATGGCCCTTGCCGTCGGCGCCTTGCACTTTGTAGATGGGAATCTCGAGCGGGTTCTCCTTGGAACCGGCGACCTTAATGGGCTTGCCCCATTCGCGCTGGAGAGATGCGAGTTTGGGATCTGTGGAGCCTGTGCGGGCCAGGGAGGGGGTGATGCGCGATGCGGCGGGGGAGCTGGAGTCAAAAGTGTAGCAGGTTTGTTTGCGGGAGGGTGCGGTCTCTGGCACGGAGTCGACGATCAGGCGTGCTTTCGAGGAGATGTCATTGATGTAGTCTCGTAGTTTGGCGGGGTCGGTAGGGACGCTGTCCCATTTTGTGGGAGAGAGGCATTGCAATGCTTCTTGTAAGGATGCCATTGGTGACGGACTGGAGGATCACGTCTTTGGGTCGATATTTCTCACGATTTTCTGTGTATATGGACTGTCCACTCAAAGGAATGACTGGGTAAATCCGACAGCGTTGTCCGTCTTCGTTCAGTCTGCAATCAGCACTGCTTGCTACTTCATCTGGCAGTCGACAAGATGTACGTGCGAATGAATCATAGTCATGTACAAAAATCAGGGCGTCGAATGCACTGGGACGTCAAAGGCCCATTCTATAGCATTACGAATGATGCAATCCAATAAATCAAGGATAAATATCGGCCGGCCGATCTCCAACATCTCCGTGGAGTTGAGTTGCCAGTCCAGTGACAAGTGTTGGTCCACCGGATGTGGCTGACGTCATGTGTCGTCTTGCTTGGTACTCCGCGCGGTTCGGTTCGCACTACAGAGTACACAACGCATCCAAGATATCCTCTACCTCTCTACGGCTAGGCTATGATGTTACAACATGAATACCCCTGACAAAATGACAGACTACTTTTTCAGTCAAACGGGATTCGTCCCTCGTGAGCAGTTTGCCACAAATCGTCATGGATTGTGCAGTTTAGATTAGAGCTTTCTCAATTTAGATACATCTCGCGCAAGTACTTCAACGTGTGCGAAGAAAGAATGATGACTATTCCCATTGGGAAGGAGAGAAGATAAGCAGAGGGTTCCAGCCCTTAGAAAGAAGTGAATGACTATGCCAGCATCCGATTCTCGCCATCGTCCACATATTCCAGCCAGTGGAAACGGAATGATGGACCGAGCACATCCAGGTAATATTATAAACCCAGCCTGGACGGTAGGGGATGAACCTACCACGCGACACACAGGGCATAGGGGACAACCGGACGAAAGAGTCGCACTGACTTCAAGTGGGCTGACTTTCGACGAGGTCACAGACCAGCGTGTACTTAGCCCTGATCGGAATATCTGCCGCAGGCACCTTCCGATCCTTGTAGGCCAATGCAGCGTCCTTCGAGCCCTTCGCAACCCTAACGCCTGAGGACGACAAATCCGCTAACATACACATGCCAGATGCGATGTATAAGCAGCGCTGCAGAGCATCCTTTTCCAGCCCACGTTCGTTGACTTCAATCTGGTATCCCGTACCAAAAAGGGGAGGATGTTCAGCAGGACAATGGAATGCAGAAAGAAGCCGAATCCAGTCAAGCATCGTCATGCGCTTCCACCGTACCTGTTGATAATGCAGCAAGGAAGGAAATACAAAGGAGGGTGAACATTTCATCCAAATCATATCCCAAGCCGTGAGGCATACCAGGTCTTCATGACATATAATGCGGGATGTAGCATGAGAAAGGAGCAAAACAAACAGCCGACCCGCCGCTTCTTGATGCAAATGAACTGAAAAATAAGAACGCTGCAAGTGCTGGCTAAAGGAGAAACGAGAGAAAACCGAAGTGTGACTGTAGTTGGGGTTTTTCCAAGGAAAGAATACGGGACGCGCAAAGCAAAAACGAGGTGGAGTATCATGGTTCTTCGTCGCAAAGTTGAGAGTGTGAACGCCGTCAATGATGCCAATTAGTCTGATGTGGGTATCCGTAGGAGAGTGGTCCGTGTTGTCGTTGGGACTGTATGCTGCCGGTATAGGTTGTAGAGGAGTCTCGGTGACTTTGCTGGTCGGCACCCCGGGATCTAATCCAAAGACACATGAAAGTCAGGCCGACCGTCAACATCAAAGTGTCTGTGGTGCCATGGACCCATTACATCGTCATCAGCGCAAAATCCTGGTATCGACCGCCCCAGCCAAACGCTGACACACTTGCGGCAGTGCCACAAGGCTGCACCAACATGCTCGGTAGTGGAAGAGCAGCGATAGCGGCAGACGTCACAGCGGCGCTGTAGTACGGGTCCGAGTCGTATGGCGAGGTGGTGAAGGGCTGACTGTAAGATGACGTTGAGGAGGGATAGTGCGTCTCATCGAGACCACTGAGACTGGCCCACAAATTCGGATTAGAATCCCCTGTGCTGGCCGTGGTTGGGCTGGATGGTAGTACTTTCCAGGCGTCCATGGACGCGGGTTGCTGCATTGGAGGTTGCCACCATGTGTCCATTCCGACTGAGCTGGGGAGGATAGGAGTGGAACGAAGGACATCCACCACCCGAGGAGGTGGGGGTCGCAAAGGGACAAAGAGGCTCTCGATGGCC